GGTGAGTTCTGTCCGAAAAAAACTCCTAATTATAAGGCCCTTGAACTCCAATGTAGATTCGTTTTTTAATATTTTTGTAAACCACTTTGAGGTTTTTTACAATCAAGCGGTGCATAAATTTTGTGGAATAAATAAAATAAATTTCATGCTAATCATCAACCAGTCTGGAATCTGATCAGAAAGTATCTGTGAGTGGTGGTGACATATTGAGTGTCCAGCTGTCCTCCCCCCTCCATATATCTTTCAGTTTTCACCAGCAAACAGCAGGCTTTGAGGAGGAAGGATGCCTCTGAATACCAATAATAACAATTGGGGGAAATGCTGTTGTGCTCATGTACACTTCCTATCAACATCTGGTTGGCCACTGTGAGAGCAGAATGCTGGACTACATGGACCTTTGGCCTGATCCAGCAAGGTCTTTCTTACATTCTTAATCTTAGCTGTGGTCATAAACTCTGTTCTTGTTCTCAGTAAGGCAGTAAATGTTTGCTTGCATATTACCACTTGAGACTACAGGTAAAGTCTCTCTCACATACAAGTAACCATCACATGCTGAGAAGATTTATTTATTTATTTCATAATTTATACACTGTTTGATTGTAAAAACAACAAAAACGTAAGGGTTTTAGAGTAGGGTCATAGCCTAGTCCTTCCTCTAGTGTTCTAGATTTCTGTGGGCAGGTATTTGCTTTATATAGAGAAGCATTGCACATCAAGACATAGGAAGCTGCTGATAACCGATTTGGGCCATTGCTCCATCTGGCCCAGAATTGTCTAAATCAGGGGTTGAATCCGGAATCTTTTGTGTGCAAAGTGTGTTCTGTGCCAGTGAGTTGCACTCCTTTCCCACCTGCAGTCTGAAGGGGCACAACTGGCCCCCGCAGCAGTTTGCACAGTCCTCTCACAGGACTCAGTCCTGTCCATTTCATCGAATCTTGCGTAAGGAGACACAACAGACTTTTCCCACTGCCTGTGTGCCCCCCCAAGTTACGAATTGCAGCATGTTTGCACCATCTTTAAACCTGTTCAGATTAATGCACTCAATAGCAACAAGCTTTTCTTTCCATCTGTTTCCCTCAACTTGCTTGTTTTATTGATCCCATCAATAACAATTATTAAAAGTGTAGGAAACAGTTGCTTAATTACGTTCAACTACAGTGGAGGGATTGCTTTATCTTCCTCGCCTACTGGTGCTGTTTTTAAATTGTTTTAAGGTGTAAATTTAAATATATACGCTCAAGCAACTTTGGATGTCAGATTTAACATAGTGGCACGTGGCCATTAAAAAAACCCCAACCTTCTGCCTTGCAGTTATAATGATGGGATATCTTTTCATCCCAGTAAAATTGGTAACTAGGAAGCAAGCTTTTAAAGTGGGGACTATCTGGAGGGGACTGGGGAAAATAATTTCCTTCCCAGTGCTTCTAGTCAGACATGTTGGATTGAGGGTGGGGGGATTTAAAATGCTAGTGAAGTACAGACTGTGACCATTTTGCATGCATTCAACCAATGTGCAACTGCCAGTGCATGTGTTGCTTTGGACCTAGAGGAGGGCAGAATGCAGGTGGGGCAGGCAGGCTTATGCACACAGGAGACAGGTACACAACCCATGCACAACTCGGGGGTTGCCTGTAGTACACACAGATTCCACTCTTGGAATCTTTGTTATCCAAAACCTTGGTTATCCAAACACAAGGAATTATTCCCAAACCTCACTACCTGAATGGCAGATCCAGATATCCAAACAGCCAGAGTTTGCACACTTCTCTGTGCATTGCTGGCTAACAGCAGCCATTTCAGGCAGAAAGCAGGGAGGGGGAGGGATATCGGACAAATCAGGGGGCAGGAGAGGTTGAACAAACCAGTTTTTCCTCGGTCTCTCTTTTGCTGGTTGACTGCAGCCATTTTAGGAGGAAACCATGGGGGGGGGGGGAGAGATCACAGATTAGAAATGTTCCCACAGGAAATAATGGAAATCGCCAGCTTGTTATGCAAATGCACACCTAATGAACAATTTCCTGGGAACACATTGTATTTGGAAAGTGGGAACTGTGCGTATTTTGTTTCTACTTTTAACACTGCTAAGCTCTGTTTCAGAGTTGTGTTAGACTTCTGTATCAAATGCAACCAAGAACCTTGTAGCTTTTAAAATACAATGATATGATTCAGACATTAATGCCAAACCATGTTTTGTGGTAATGTCTAAGCCAACATAATGTGATGGTCTGTGCTTTGCAAGTTGCCACCAAAGCAGAATCCCAACCAACACAGTTTCAAGATGGCTTGCAAACATTTGAGTAAATTGGCTGGAATGCAAACTCTTAACTTCAATTTCAGAAAACACATAACCATCAGGGTATTTATTTGCTCATTTGCTCATTTCTTTATCGCAACACCTAATCCCTTTTTATGAAACATCTGAAAACAATTTAACAAGGAAAACATTTCACATAAAAAGCAATTAAAACAATTTTATATGTAAAAACCATTTCAAGTCCAATACAAAAATAATAATTCCCCTTCAAATGCTTGTTGAAAAAGAATGAAAGACAATGGAGATTGTGTCTTTCTGATATTTACAGGAGAGAGTTCCGGAGGGTAGCAACTCACTAAAGTTCATGAATATTGGGATGGTTGCTGGGATGATGCAGATAGAATGAAAAGCAGATATAGATGTTCAGTCAATGGGAGAGGGAGGGAGGGCAGGTTGGTTGAAGATGGTTGATGAGTTGACTTGGGGCTGTCCATTGAGAAACTGCACATTACCATGGTTGGCAGCTCAAAATGACAGCTCATCTCATAACATCAATACTTGGTATTTTTGAAGTGTTCAGAACACCTTACATATGTTATCTCAGTCATTATTATAACTGTTTTATGCAGGAGGTAAATATTATCGTCCTTATGCTGCAAATTGGGGGAGATGACTGCAGGTGAGAGGTTGTAGCATTTTTGGACTTACATCCCACTTCTCTAGGGAATGTAAGAGGTTTACATGTTTCTCACTCCCCCGCCTCCCCACTTCATTTAATCTTATGAGAACTCTATGAAGCAGATTAAACTGACAATATAGTTACTGGCACAACTCACCTAATGAGCTTCACTGCTAAATGTGGATTGCAACTTGGGTTACACCATTCCTAGACCAACACCCTTGTTACTTTTCACTAACCTGGAACATTCATTTAGGTTGCCCAGTGAAACAGTGACAAAGGTGAAATTTGAGCTAAGGACTTTTGTAAAATGAACTCTCACTTAATTTGATGGAACTTGTGCTTTTCAGATTGCACCCTTAACCACTCTGCTGAAAACACAAAGTACTGCTACTGTATTATATAAGAGTAACCACCAGGTGTGTGGTGGGTGTGAACACCTTGTAGCCAAATTCTTAGAAAGCTTTTGTTTTGTTTTGTTTTGTTTCCTAAACTTCTTCTGTGGTACATGTTAAAGTTTTACAAAAGCTATTAAAAAAGAAACTTCAAATAGAAGGCAGTTCATTTCGGCCATGATATCACTCCAGAATTGAAGCATTATAGAAAAGCTAAACAATGCCAAATGGATTTGGCCGAGATCAAAAGCCAAATCTATTTGTTCGCTTTCATCTTCAGTGTTCCATTTCCTAGGAGTCTGACCTTAGTCAAACATCTATTAAAGTTAGCTTTTTGATCTCCCCCCTTCTTTTTCAAAAAAGAAGGGGGGAAAGTCAATCTTGAAAAATTTTCTTCCAAAGACAATCACACTATTGTATTTTTAATGTTCCACCAGCATCTAAGTAAATAGGATTCTCTGGTGTATGCGACAGAACACTGGTTAAATGGGACAATCATTTTTGTGTCTTAGACAAGAATCAAAAGGAAGCATTCTTCAGAGGCTGTTAACTGGAACAAGAAAATCCCCCTTAGGTCACTGGAAACCTGTTAGCTGGTCGATCTATGGCCTGTTTTAGTCCTTTGATTAAAAAAAAAAAAAAGCTTTGTAATTTGATAACAGGTAGCTTAGTTGCTTCTAATGTGGTTTCCTCTTCATCAGTCAAAGTTGACGGGTGTTTAATCAGGGAAAAGGTTCATTTACTCCTAAATTATGAGACTTGTAGTCAGGTTTCAGTACCAGTAGAAAGACAGCCACTACCAGCTCTTTGATCCTCCCCAATAATGTTAAAATGATCACTTTTTATTTACACCTTTAAAGTATTATGCTTTCTGTAGCATGTTTCTGTAAATAGTTCTTAGCGTAAATAGTTCTTAGTGTACTAGGTGCTGGGTCTCCAGGTTTGGCAATGGCTAGAGAGGGCGCAGCCTGCAGAGGACCATATAAGGAGGCCTGGAGGGTCACATCTGACCCCTGGGCCTGATGTTCCCTGTCCCCTCCTTAGCCTGTCACCTCAGAACTGTGTCATTTATTAACGATGATAGAGTCATACATTCATCATCTATAGTGGAAACAAAACCAAGAAGGGAAGCTTCTAAGTCTAGCTGCTATATAGAGGCCTATATTGTTCTTTCTTTGGCGATCACTCATAGCAAAGTAAGATTGTCTTCCATCAACACGATTTTAACAATGAGTCCATAAGTGACTGTGGAGGCCAATTCTGGATCCGCACATCCTTTCATGATGGGAACATAGGTTTCCAGCGAGAGTTGATCACGGTGAGGATTTGCCAAATGTCCCTTCTTCTTAGCTCATTTCTCTCTTTTGTCCTGAGTTCATGCTTCTTCAAAGTCCATGACGCCTTGGTAAAGGCTGTTCTCCAATTGAAGAGCTCGCAGGCCAGTGATTCCCAGTTGTCGGTGTTTATACTACTTTTTTTTTTTGAGATTTGCCTTGAGAGTGTCTTTAAACCTCTTTTGTTGTCCACTGGCATTATGTTTCCCATTCTTAAGTTGGGAATAGAGTAGTTGCTATGAAAGATGATAATCAGGTGTGTGTGTGTGTGTGTGTGTGTGTGTGGAGAAGGGACCACAAGAATCTTTCGTCCAACCCCATACCATGCAGGAATCTTTTGCTCAACATGGGGTTCGAACACACAACCCTGAGATTAAGAGTTTCATGCTCTATCGGCACTCTAACCTAGGAATGGGCAACTTGAACACCTCTAGATGCTGCAGGAGCTGAACAGATCAGTGTCATCCCTGACTGTGCTGACTAGGCCTGATGGGAGCTAGTGTCCAACAAAGTTCTGGAACACAGCCAGCTCCACCATCAGGCAGAGTGACATAGTCAAAGCCTGAAGCCTCTTCTCGGCTAGGCTGCTGCCCTCAGGTACAGTTGAAGGATGCTGTCCCATTACCAGTTCCAACACTGATCTGTTCAGCTCCTGCATAGTGAGTGGATACAAGGGGGCGCCATCCTGTCCTTAGCTCAGGCAGCAACTGTTTATTGCCCAGCCCTGACCAAGAGAGCTACAGGTTCCCTATCCCTGCTCTAACCAGTACACCACACATGTGGCATATTTACTTGGGAGTAAGCCCTACTGTGTTAAGTGGGGTTTACTGCAATTGGAGAGTGCATAGGCTTGCAGTTTTTGCCCCTTAGCACCACAGAAACCTAAGTTCAATGAGTACTTTTATTCTTCTTCTTCAGTTAATGCATTTACCAGGACAGTTACCACTTTTAAAAAAGAGGTTCAATTATTATAGGACATGGAACACTCTGCTGATTTTCTGGATAGCCAGTCTTTCTTCCCCCTCCCCCTCCTCTCTCTTCAACCCCATCACCCAAAATCCTTTCTCTGCCTTTTTACATTCATCTTTGTGATCCTGAGAACCGAAAGGGTCAGGCAGTCAACTATACAGAATAAGATAAAGGTCGCTGGAGTGGAGCTCACTAAAAGTATTAAGTATTACAATCCTGACAAATCATTCCCATAGCCTAGACTCTAAAAGGAACGGAAAATGTCATGAAATCAATCAACCATCATAAGCGGGTCTCTGAAAAGAAAGCAAGGGAAAATACAATCTAACCCGGCCTTTTCCTTTCCAACTCTGATTTTGTCATTTCCTCTCAATCATATAACTTAAAAAGATTTTCAGAGTATGAGAAGGATGCATCTTGTTTATGTTTCATCCATCGTTGATAATATTGTTATTCTACTGATTTTAACATTTTACATGGTGGAATAATATGCCAAGATACATACAAATAGTAATACACATACATTTTCACTAGGTTTGTTTCAGATTCTGGGACTGAAGTTCCCCTGAGAAGGGCGAGGCCAGATTCCACTCAGCTCCTGATCAGTGCTGGGGCAATATCATAGGCTGCTTATTAGCTGGACTTAGCCTGGCATCTATCACTTCCACCCTGGCATGTTCAGTCCAAGATCCTAAAACCATCTCTGCCATTTTAGGACTTATACATAAAGCAGAATGAATTGGTTGAACCAATGAGGGAGCAGTCAGTGAAAACTGCAAGTGGTGGATAACATTTTTTTTAATACTGCCCCCACATTGCAGTTAACAACTCCAAGCAAAACAGCCAGGATGGAATTGGAACATCAAAGTTTGTATCAAAATATTTTCATAGAGAAGCATTAAAAAAGAAGACACCCACCCCATACAGTCCTAAGTGATGCAGTCCATTCTGGCACCCCAGAACTCAACCTACTCATTCTCCCTTCTTTCTGATCCATCTGCAAACTAGGTTTCAGTCTCCTTACTAGTGCTAGGCTGAGCATTTGAAAGACTGAAGGATTAACCTGGATTTTGATAGATTGAAAGAGGGATAGCTGTCAGAAGAGCAGGAGACTCTTGATCTCAGGGTTGTGGCTTCGAGCCCCATGTTGTGCAAAAGGTTCCTGCATTGCAGGGGGTTGGACTAAATGACCCTGTGGTCCCTTCCAACTCTACAGTTGCATGAATCTATGTGTGTGCAGTGAGAGGGTAAATTTTACCTTTGTCCATTAGTTTCTATACACACCCACACACCTCCATCCAAGCAAGAAACTTTATCAGAATTAACGGGCAAATTTTGAGCCAGGCGAAAACACTCAAGGAAAATACAAAGCAAGGCCAGTGAATGGTAAGACATCAGGAGCAGGAGTGTGGCTTTGGGGAAGGTGCCTAGACCCAGGTAGAAAGGTCCTCAGGACTATGGTTCCCCTCCTTTGCTCAGGTGGTTGCCTCCACCTTCAGACCAGGTCTGGCTCCCCTGGCACTCAGTGACAGTCTATCTTCCCTCAAGAGGTAGCATCTTCCTTCTGGCCTGGTCCTGAGGAAGGCACAAGCTGCCTCTTGGGGAAAGCATGCAGTAACTAGTGCAGAATTATAGATGGGTTCCTTCACCCCACAATGAGCAAGATTTCTCTGACCTGTAGGGAAGACAGTTCACTCCAGCCTGCTTCTGAAGGAAGCCAGGAGCAGCTGCTCTCATCTCTGAGGGGTATGGGACCCAGAGACTGCAACATGGCTCCCCCCCTCCTATTTTCAATATGGCATTGTGCATTAACATTTCATACCACCAGATGTTTCATTGTTCTTGCTTTCTGAATGTCTCACTTGACCCACAGCAGGTTTGAATGCGGATATCGCATACAGCTGGTAGAGCACCCAGAAACCAGGCACAATTTGGACTTGAAATCATAGCGGCGCCAGAACCTTAGTGGTTTTGTGTGTTTTCTCCCTGTTTTGAATGTTTCCAGTTACAAATAGTTTGATAATTTAATTAAATGTTTTGTTTTGATATGAGGGACTGCAGTGCAGGCGGTGTGGCTTGCCATTCAATTTTAATTAATTAATTGCATACCTCAAGATTGGATTACTCATAGCTCCTCTTTAGTTAATTTACTCGTTCACAGTTTTGACAGAAAAGCTTTATGAATAATGCAGAGGGATGGGTACCATCTAACCAATTACTAAACTTGTGTGTGTGTGTGAGGAATTAGTTAGAGAATAGTACAACCTTCCATCATCATCCGTAATCTATAAATATGAATGCAAAATACATATAAGTATGAATATATGTGTGAATATCTATTAGGGTGCCCACCGGGTTCTATAACTCCATTTGCACCAGGTTATAAATTATAATTGCTGTGTGAGTCCCACTTCACTCCTTCCAACTGCCCACATAATCAATGGCTGAGAGCCATTATGGCAATGCACTGCTTCCTGTGCTGGAGGGAATAAGCCAAACATCACAAGTGGGGAGAGATGCTTGTAGGCATCTCAGAGGCATCTGGTTGGCCACTGTGAGAACAGGATTCTGAATTAGATGGGCCTTTGGTCTGAACCAGCAGGGATCTTATGTTCTTAGGCAAGTTGAAATGACAGAAAAGACTGTTTGCTCATTTTGTTTAAATAATTTTTCTCTTTATTTCTGTGGCTAGGTCTAACAGCAGCTGCCATGGCAGAGGCGATGAAATTACAGAAGATGAAGCTGATGGCCATGAATAGCCTTCATGGAAGTGGGAGTCAGAATGGGACAGAATCTGAGAATGAGGAGCTGAATTCCAATGCAGGTAAGCAAATCTGAAATCTGTTTCTTTGAGTTTACTTCTTAACTGTTCACTCCTGGGAAGGAGAAACTCTTCCATTGTCAAACAGTTGCTATTTTGGGTTGCCTGCAACTCGAATAGCCACTTTATGAGAGTCACACATGGAAAAGTTGCCAGATTATGGAGTTGATGGTGGTAACTCGCTTCTCCACCTTTGTCTTTCTGAGGGATGACTCATACTGCATTCCAAAAATTAGAATGTTTTGGAAGTCATCCATAATTGACAGGAAAAGTCCACACACAATGGAGGATTTTTTCTTTTCTTTTTTGGCAACAGGAGAAGTCATTGTTGCACAAATGAGCTTTGGGGGAGATGTTGATCACACCTTTCGCTTTTGGCAAATGGTAATCTTAATGCTTAGCCTTGGGGAGAATGATTGTGTGTTTACGTGTTAATCATCATAATTAACATGGATCTAGCACATTTCAAGTTTTGAGAGCACTTAATGTATATCAGCATAATGTCCTTATGGGATCTTCTAAGATAGGTCTCTATTATTTTCACCAGGTTGCAAATATGGTGCTGAGGCTTGAGATAAGATTTATTATTCCATTTTTTAAATCTCTCAGTCTTGTTATGAGACTGTTGAGTGTTCTCCCAGTCCAGACACTGATCATATTCATACCACAAGGTTGCTGCATTATATGCATTAATGTCATAGCTCTGGCTGAATATTGGCTTGCCAGAGATTTTCTGGTATATGGATTGACAGTCCACAATGGCACAATATGCCTGCAGGGTCTCATTTCCTGAAATTAGACTTGAAATAAGCCTTCTGTTGTAGCCAAGAGAAGCTATTTTTGCCTGAGGTCCAAAAAAGTTTCTCCACTTTTCAATTTCTCCAAAGGCCCAAAAAAGGGTAGCAACCCCTCTTGACTTTGAAGAGGCTCATATCATTGATTCCCCAGCTCACAGTACTGTTTACTTAGCTTCATTTGTAAGAACAGCCTGTACAAGGCAGTTCACTACATAGTAAAACTGTTACAGGCATCACCCAAAAACCCCAAACTGAATTGTGGCTTCCTAGTTTGTTCAGCTTCCTGATTCATTTCTCCCACTCATGGTGCAGGAAGAGAAAAGCAGTAGTGATCAAGCATGTTGGTCCAGCACACTGCTCATTCCAAATAATGCACAAGAGCCAGCAGTCTTATCATGATGTGCGAACATGGGCAATGTATTGATCTTGATCCATGCAGTGAGTTATTACAGCAGGGTGGAACAGAAATATGCAAAGAGGGTGGGTGATTTTGCCAACTTCCTTATGGAAATCATATGAATACAAAATGCTTCAATATACCAGACCAGACTGTTGGTCCTTCTAGCCCAATGCTGTCTACTCTGATTGCCAGCTGTCTTGCAGGATCCCAGACAAGCTACCCCTGTATGAGAAGATGCTAGGAATTAAATATGGGACCTTCTCTGTGTAAAGCAGGTGTTTTGCCATTAAGCTATGCCCTTCTCCCCAGTCATAAAGTGTATACCAACAATTATCTCTTGTGCATGTTCTTTTTGGTGCTCTCTGTACCACCCAAGGCCATCTAGATCAGCATTTCCCAACCTTCAATTCCTTAGCTATTGCTGACTGCAACTCCCATC